GTTTTTGACACTTGATCGCGGCCTGCATGATGCCGCGACACTTGCCCGCAGTGAAGGTCTCAAATCGCAGGCACCTTAAGGTCGCGATACTTTCCCGGTTCTGCACCATTTCTTGCTCCTTTCAACGTTTTGGAATCCATTTGGCCTCTAAGTTTGATTAGCACTTCTCCATACCTGCCATCACACAAATACAAATGCAATGCAACCTAAACAGACTCTAAATGCACCTAAATGACCAATGTAAACATAAAATGGATGATTAAAAGTATGAAATATGCAAAATATCATTAATTCACAGCATTGGGAAGATAAAACATGAAACATCGTGTACTGTTAGGGGTCTAATTACATTTGGATGAAGACATTCCACGATAACAGATGTTTAACCCACGATCCAGATAATTAAGGGAGTGTTGTTTAAGCAATGTTTTGTTACATTGTTTGGAAAGATTAAACAAACTCATAATCGTTATTTTCTCTTATCTCAAAAGAGATTTTTCTTCTCGACCTAGATAGACTGCTTATATGGTCGTTCTTGAGCATTCTTTAGATTGCACTAAATAAAATTTTCCTTGCGAGAGTTTCATCAACAATGTTAGTTCCTACTGGATTTTTTTTTTTTGCTAACTTCGGTTTAAAAATTCTTTCATATATAAAGGTGAATAACAATCTACACGATTAGTATTTATCGTTTCGTTTGGAGTATGATGGATACATTCCGATGCTTCCATCATAGGTATTGTTGTAACTTGTAAGAGAGTTCCACGAGTGGTAGGTATGATCCCAAAGATAAAGAGTTCTCATTTAAGCAATGTAACATGATTCGATATATTTTATGAACGACGACATTCTTTTGGTTAATTATCTAAGGCAAGTGGATGATTACAATTAAAAAAACTTTGAGTTTGAAATTATAAATTTCATGAAACGTACATCAAACCACAGTTATGGCGACATTATCAAACTTAAGAAAATGGATTTATAAAATGAGTTAACAAAAAAAGTCAACGACGCCCTTCTTTTGATTATTTATCGATAAATAGAAAAAAAGACCTGGAAAATAAAGATTATATAGAACTTACGGCAATGCACAATTGTGTCGACATGAACTTGGGTAAGCCAGACATAAAAACAGAGAGGTTATAAAAACTATAACAAATTTACGAAATGTTGGCTATAAATAGGTCACCACGCATATGGATATAACCCACAAACCAAAATCAAGTTAAAGAAAAAGCAGAGCTAAACCAAAAGAAATGGCAAAGAACCTTAACTCGGGCACCTTCACCGTTCTCTTGATTGTCCTCTTGATGGCTTCGACCGGTATTAACTAACTTAATGAAGTCATCTGTTATACTTTGCAGTTGTCTTTAAATATCTTGCCCTGATGGTTTTTTTGAATATATCAATATGTAGAAATCCTCAAAATTGAGGCTATGAACATCAAGGCTAGATGCCTTCCACAGGGATGCAAAAATCCTACATTCTCCGAGGAGTGCGGCGTGGAGCCATTCCCAGGTTCAAATAATGATTGCTGTCACTGCTGCGTAGAAAAATACGGGAGGAAGGCAGTCTGTAAAGGAGTTGTTGAGGGACCAGACAAACACTGTCATTGCTACAAAGAAAGTGTTTGAAATAACCTTATACAATTACCAAGTGTAAGTGTATAACTTGTGTGTTTCATTTGGTGTGCGGACATTTACATGTGTGTATGTTTATGTTCGAGTTTTGTTTGTTTCACAATAAAACATCAAGGGCAAAGCGTATCAGTGATTTCCCCGAAGTGGAGAGCTCATGTTGTGTGCAACTTTATCTTTTTCTGAATATTCAACTTGTTTTTTATTTGCGTTCGTTATCGTGAAGAGGATGAGATGGTCTAATTAATATTCAGATTTCAAATTAGTGAATGTATGCACGTGACTTGGGCATGGGGAAACTTAAAAAAAGGATTATTTTGACACGTATAGATTAGGCCTGGGCATTTTATCCGGACCCGAAGACCCGAACCGGAACCGATCCGAACCCGATCCGAAAATTTACAAGTACCTATTGGGTCTAAAATTCTTTCACCGAATAGACCCAGACCCGAAAAGAACCGACCCGAATATACCCGGACCCGAGTAGACCCGACCCGATAAGAACTGATTTGTACCCGACTTATAAACATGTATATCTAAAACTATTATTTTTGTGTTATGTTTTATATATCTATACTATTTTAATTTAATTGAAATATATTTTGTTAAGAATATTTATTATTATTTGTAACATTTTTAAGTAATATAAAGTTTTAAAATGTAAAATTTAGAGTTTAAAAATATTTTCTTTAATTATTAATAGTTTAAATTAAGTTATCTTATAAAATTCTAGATATATATGAAAAATATTGACTGAATTTGAGTGAGTTTAAGCATGTTATGTATTTTTTAGATTCTAAATACCCGGACCCGATCCGGACCCGATATGGATGCAAAAATTATGGGTATTTTACAGGTATTGGAACTATAGACCCGAACGGACCCGGATCCGGCAAGGCCCGACCCGGACCCAACCCGAAAAAATTAGAGGTACCCATATGGGTCTAAATTTCCAAAACCCGAAAGACCCGAACCCGACAGAATCCGACCCGAGGACCCGGATGCCTAGACCTAGTATAGATAGTCTAATGAACCGTGGGATAATCCTACTTTAAATTCCAACATCGGTTAATTATCGTGTTGAATCAAGTTTATATAAACAGTTACATATTATAAGAAATTGTCAATTGGTGGGATATAGAAGTTCATGATTCAGATTTATGGAGGTGGTACCTTTGAGATCGAAAGATAAGGCAACATCTCTATTGGATGACATGGACTGACCTCAACTCTTACTGATTGACCTTCTGAATTAATTGTAGCAAATTATCAAAGCTCATGGGACATGGCTTAAGCCTAAAAGTTTGATTAAACAAAATCGCAAAACATAGTTTTAGCACATGCCAATTAACCTAATATGCACATTACTATAACCGAACGGTATATTGAACAACATTTTCAAGATCAAATCCACATAACACTAGTAATTAGTAACACTAAGAATACACAAATCTCCTTTATCTAAGCAAATAAAAAGGTGAGGCGATTTCTAAACTAATGAAATAGAAAAAACAACTTTTTTTTTTTATCAAAAAAATAGAAAGACAACTAATAACTACTACTAGAAATAAACTAAGAAAGATAAGCTCTTGGTTATGACGACTGATCAGAGATGATTGCCTTAGACTTAGATGCCATACATCATCTGCTAACAAATGCTCTAAAGATCTAGTTCTCATTCATGTAGACTAATCCACTCCTGTGACAAAAATCCCTATGCTAATCATGAATTAAAAATCAACTCTTGTTTGCCTAACGCAATCTAGCATGCATGAATCACAAGTCTACTAACCACTAGACATCTTGGACATCAAATTTCGTTGGCCAAATATGTAAAGGACAATACTAAATTCGTTCAAGCATTTCAACAAACATCTCCCGAGCGTGAAATAGCTTAAAATCTAAATTAGAGTGGCCAACACTAATCTAGCATTAAGGACCATTAGCAAACCTAGAAAAATGCTAATCTAGCCTTAAATATCATCAATCATTCATCTTTCACTCCAATCCATCAACCCAAAAGATCTAAAAACTTACTCACTATAAACCATAGAAACCCAAGAATCTGTCACCAATCCTTGAAAAATCATGTTTAGGAAAAAATAGAAAATATATAAATAAAATAAATACTAGATTAATGCAAAAAATAACTAAGATTTTTTAGATCTAAAAATAAGAGAAAACTATAAAAGGTGGCTGAGGTAGCTTAAGATTTTTATCACCCTTAACAACATACAAAGCAATGTGGCCCGTGGTTAATTTCCCCTAGCACTAATGGGCTTCATAATAGAAATGCGCAAACAAAACAACTTCCTTAGAACATCATATGCAAGATGCAACTTTCCTGAAGTGGTCATTCATAGCTCTAGATAACTTTGTAAATTTCTCTACAGCAACAAAGTGCTGACGACCAGTTCCTGAATTGGGCACTTCAAAGCTGTAGGTGAAACACAAGCTAAATGCACATAACCAATGGTGATTGCGTTTCGTCTTCTTCCTCCTTACCGCTCAAGTTCCCTGAGGTTTGTTCCTTTCCGACTTTGCCCAAAAACTTCTATTTGTTGCAGATTTAATCCTTAAATTCACCTCAAAACTCTTGATAGTTCATTCCAACCCCAGTGATGCAAATATGTGCATATGCAACTTCTAATGATACCTAAATGAAATTCTTAGACACTAAAATAACTAAAATCATGGAAAACACTATACATCATAAACCACATTCCAAAACCGGAGAAAACCATATGAACAATTCTTTTGTTCTCCAAATCTTAAACATATTATTTATATAAGTTTACTGTCTTGATAAATAATGTTTTAAATTTTTTTCTATCTTAAAATGTTATGGCCTTTTAAAGCCCAGAACCAGCATACACATCGCCGTTCTTAATCTCTTTATGACGAAGGAATTATGAGCAAATATGTTTCTGAGTCAGATGTTTGAATACAAACAAGTAAACTATATCGATCTTTCTTACACAAAGCCTCTAGGAGAATGCCATGAAACCTTTGTCTTGAACATGCATCCGTGCCGTTATAGCATTTATAGAATCAATGTTCCTTCCTCTCTTCCATTACTCTCTTTAATATCATTTCTGTTGCATTCCTATGTTATGAAAACCAAACGGTTGTGGTGGAAGATCTTTAAATGACGTTATGCGCTTTCTTTCTAACATCTCAGCCATGTTTCAATAATTTCTTATATTGTATTGTATATGATATATTTTAGGTGCATACGATTTGAGAGGTTCGCCCTAGAAGCTCCCAGGCCCGCCTCCCTAGGCGCCCTGCCTGATGGCTTTTCTCCGATCCAAATCCGGCGCTCAGTCTTCCTACTGATGAAGAAGTTCGTTCTCCTCTTCCATGGCCTCAAAGGGTAAAGCTCCTCCTCCGCTTCTGTCAAGACCTCCACCAGATCCTCCACCGCTCATGAGTCCTTTGATACCATTGGAATCTCTCATTCTCACAGAGCCGCCAGATCCCCCAGATGCGACCTTCACCCTCATTCAAATCCCGTTCGTCGATGAATCCCACAAGTCTTCTTCCCAATCGGTTTCTCAAGTCGTAGATCTGGCGTTGGGTTCCTCCATTGGTGTGGCTCTTGGTGTGTCCATGAGTAACTCTGTCCACCGCACGCTCGTCTCTTCCTCCATGTACCAGCGTCCCCGAACTCTCTTTCCAATCGGCCAGTGTAGAGGTTTCAATTTTCTTAACCTTTAGACTTGTGAGTTTGGGTCATGGCTCATGCTCTAATTTGCAAAATTTAGTGTCTCCCATGACTATAAGAGTTCAAGAGTTAGAATATCAACTAGAGTGTTACTTGTCAAATTCAGTCACAAGGGCCTTGTTGTTTTCTCTGCAAGACATTTTTGTGGACATGAGTGTAATTGTACGATTGCTAGCTTTTCTCAAGCGTCCCTATCTCTAGTACGCAGCATTAAAAAGTCTTGAGGACTGGATTTTGGATGTTGATACATTGGGAGTGGTTTGTTTTCTGGCTACAGTTTTGTTTATTACTTACATTTCAGATGTTTTCCACTGTTTAACTTCAGATTACAGGGTTCACCTAGCCCAAAGCTTAATTGCAATGTCAGTTTACCAGGTTCACCTAGCTCAAAGCCGGTCTCAATCGCAAGGCAGGGCCAAAGAAGGAAACAAAGTACTTTTTCTCCATCAAAATCGGGTCAGACAAGCACCAAGGAGTCATCCTAACAAAGACAAATTGACTACATGTTTTGGATGGGTTTTCTTCGGTCCAGGTCTAGAGACTCCATTCCATGGACTTACGATCAGGATCTTCATCAGCTCATTCCTCATTGCAGAGGTCATCGCGATTCGATCGTCGCTTAGCATGGAGCTAACCTTGGAGTTCTTCAAACTCAAGGTTTTCTCCCACAGTTTAACGCTCATCAGAGTTATCTCCGACAACCTCCAGTCAAAAGAAATCATCAGAATTGTGAAAGACATTCGATCGATCTCCTCTGGGTTTGCAGCAATTTGTTGTTATCATGTTTGTAGATCGGGCATCTTAGGTGCCGTTGTTTTAGCAAAAAAGCTCTCCGAGCATAGTTCTCTGTGTAATGGACATCATGATCTGGGCCATTGGTTTTGGCTCATTTCATCATCTTAGTTTTTAATGAAATATTCAGTGACGAAAAAAAAGTATTGTATATGATAATGCTTTCAGGGACTTTCTTATAAGATTAGTGGCTGAACTGATTTTATTAGACGTATAATACATGATATCTTGCATATTTGCATTGTTTTACCCATTCATCCATGAGCCTTTTCATCATATAGATTAGGATTTAGCCATGTCTAGGTTGCATTTTGCATTCATTGTCCTTATTAGGTGTTGGAATGTGCTATGGAGTGGTTTGAGATGTTTAGGAGCATTGTGATCCAAAAGGGGCTGAAAGATGAGCATGGATGGAGCCTTTAAAGAAATCTTCTGTTGCTAAGATTTTGTGGACACACAGAAAATTGAGATAGCTTTCTAATGGAAATGGTTTCAAGTCGTTTGAAGATGTAATGAAGGAGTTATGACCAATTTACCAGAGGCATATCCATTATGTTCGGGCATCCTGGAGCGGAGTCATGGCAGCGGGGTCAGGGGGTCGGCCCAGACCACAGCGGACCCCCGGGGCGGAGTCAGGGGGTCGCTCGGCTAAGACAACACCCCACAGAGGGGTTGTGGCAGCGGGGTTGTGACCCCGTTGTGCGCTTATGTTTGGAGGAAAAATACTTGTTTTGAGGACCTTTTTGCAATTTCGTTTTTTATGTTTTGAGTTGGAAAAACATAATTTTAAGTACTCTTTGTAGCCTACCAGGCAGATCATCTTTGTTCTTGAAGAGAAACCATTGAAAAACCTTTGTTTTACTTTTCTATTTCATCATCTACATGATTAAGCTTGAATCTAAAATAGGTTTAAGAGTAATCATGATGATTAGTGAGTAAATCACCTTTTGAGTTCATGGGTTAGGGAGATTAAGGGTGATTAGGTTAGTTCTAGGTTGTTTTAGTGTAGATCATTCTTGTTCCTTGCTAGTAGAGTATTCATAATGCATCTTCTGAGTTAACTACTCAAAAGTTGATCAATAGGCATTTCCCACCCAAAAGGTGTTCGATGAAATGCCTGAGACAACTCTCCTAGAATTTTAGTATACTTTGCCAAAGACATTTGTTGTTAAAAATGCTAAGATAGCTAATAGACTTGTTAGTAATGATTGCTTTCATATTATTCAACCAAAGACATTTGATGTTTGAGATATGTTAGCAAATGAACATTCATCTAGACATAGAGCTTGTTTAGAATTGTGTCTAGGCTTAAGGTTGATAGTTTAATTGATCGCTTGCAATCCTTAGTTCGAAACTTGATCACCCAAGGTCTAA